AGCTTCTCCAGCGGTTCTTTCCACAGATGTAATCGATCTGATTCCTATGCATACCATCAGGTGAAATCCAGGTATATAACCTGCGTTTATGTCTCTTAAAAAATGTATTTGCTAGATTTTTCAAATTGGATTCAATCAGATCAGCCATACTTAATCCAACAACCCAGTATCCTTTCAGCTTGATGACTTCATAGGCACTTTCAACCGCTTATGTACTTCTTTCCAATTTTCACTATCATTGTCCATCTCTATCTCTGGATTCAGTTCCTGGAGAAAAACTCCTGCCACGTTCACGCCACTTCACACTGCCACTCTTGAGTTACCACAGTCTCCCAAAATCCATCCATGACAGCTGCTTGATGAATGCCAAGTTCAAGGTAGCAAAACAGGCTGATATTAATCACATAGTTTTTAAACTTCCACAGCTTAAGACTGAAATGTCACAGGTATACAGATTATACCCACTCCCAATTACATGGTGCTTGGGCAATTTACTTACTTCCAGGTAACGTATATAATTTACTTTACTTTTACAATTAATTTACTTCCTGGTAACGTATATAAGAATAGCCACTGGGTTTGATGCCAAAATTATGAGGCAGTCAGGACTGTACTTGATGATCTGAGGAATAATGAGTTTGAAGATATTGACATTCCTCAGTACCAAATTGAATCGACTCTCCCCAGTGAACTCCTGCAGTTACCACCACAATCTTAGAACTGGCTGTCACAGAGTAATCTTTATCTGCTACTATTTTCAGTGTCTGATGGAATAAGCTCTTATGTTAGATCCATCATTTCTCCTATGAGTTTATCTCTAAAACATTCACAAGGGCAAGTTCATCAGCCAGAAACTTTCCCTGAATGCTAATAGCACATGCCGTATCAATTTGCCCAACACCCACTACAGTGATCTTCTAATTTGGAACCTCCTCTTCTGCATCTGGTGCAATTAGTTTTTCCTTATAAGAGTTGTTATTGTGCACAGGGGAAAGATGACACTCCAGAAGGTAGCAACAAAGGCACAAGGAAGACAATGTGGGGTGCTCGGCGTAGATCCTTTGGCACAGGCTATGTTGAGTGGTTTCTTTAGTCTGTCCAAGTTAATGGAATAAAAATCTGGTAGTGGTATTCCAAAAGATACTGGTTAATGCTAGGCAGGATAAGAAGGTAGGTGGGTAGTTCACAGAAGCAGCAATAAGACCTAGCAACCATACCCCATCCCACTTTACTATATAAGAGAGCTGTGGTGGCTTAGTGGTAAGAAATCACACTGCCCAACCAAAAGTACCTGATTCAAATCCACCGGCTGCTTCACAGGAAAAAGATGATCAATCTCCTCCCATGTGACTTATTACCTCTGAAAACTCACTGGAGGATCAGCTTTAGGTTGATTCTTACTCGATGGTACATAACAACAACAACAACAACAACAACATATAATTACAACACATACATATGAGAGAAATATTTATGCATGTAGGTAATTTAAGAATCTAAGCAACTGAAATGAATGAACAATAGTGATTCAGGGCCTCAGATAATGAGGAAGTTGGCCACTGAAAGGAAAAGCGACATAAGAAATAGGTTTATTTATCTGAGTCATATTTTTTCCCCTTTCCTCTGAAGCAGTCGAATTGTGTGAGACAAAGTATGATGATGTCATTATGAAACTATGGTGGCAGTTAGATTTTCTGAGCTCTCGCTACCAAATTGAAGTTTACAGTTTTTTCAAATATTCATGCATTTAACTTGCTTTTTGTTTGTTTGTTTTACCTTCCCCAGTATTGAACTTTTGGCATATGTTTGAATAATCACAATTAACATTTCCATTTTAAGAGGACTTCTTTACTCAGAAGGGTTTTCTTACTCAGAAATTTCCTGTTTTTATGTAAACAGGATGGTACAGAATATCTTACACTTGGCTTCTATTTATTCTAGACTTCTCTAGAAATTAGTTGTATGTATGGGTTAATTTTATGTACTTCAAAACAAAGGTCAGTTCCTCTTTATATTCTTCATCTGTCTGGTGTTAAGACCATTTGAACACTTGGTAAAAGTGTTCAATTGATTGATTCAATGACCCACATAGAAGCTGGACTAAGGATTTAAAGCATTTTGTCTGAAATATGTGCAGCTTTAAGATGTATTTCATAAATTGAGCCAATTCACACATGGATCAATAGTCACAGCAATAGACTTAATCTACTACACAACTGTAATAGCTAAACAGCTATTGTACTGATACAATGACATTGTACTGATACGATGACCAACATACAATGGGACAGAATCAAGAACCCAGAAATTAATCATGTACCTATGGCCAGTTGGCATTCAACAAGGAAATAGAACCTATTACATGGGGAAACAACAA